GAAGTAGTGGTGGATTTAGGTGTGGGGAGTTAAGGTGTGGTGAATTAATGTGTAGCGAACTCAGGTGGAGTAAGTTTTTAAGCGGAGGTGAGATGAGTTGAGGTGAGTTAAGTTAAGTTAAGGGGTTAAGTTAAGATAAGTTATCTTTACCCTTATCTTCATATTCATCTTCATCTTCTTCCTCGTCTTGGTCTTCATCTTCTTCTTCATCTTTATCCTTTCCTTTATCCTGATCTAAATATGTCCATTCTTTTCTTCATTTACATATTCACCCCCACCATTGTTATTAGGTTAGGTATTTAAATTTTCCTTCCTCTTTGTCTTTATATTTAAGTTTCTTTACTTTTATTTTAATTTCTGTATTTATCCCTTTCTTCTTCTCCATACTCAAAATTATCTCATCCTTGTTTGAGGCTAATCTATTCATGTACATACATACATACATCTTATTCCTAAACTGCTGCTTAGCACGTTTCTTTAATTCACTATCAATATTAAAGCATACATTTAGGAGGCATTTCCGCCCCAACCATGTAAATACATGTATGGCATTGGTATTGGTGTGACTTTTGAATAGATTTTTTCGCTCTATTTTAAACTAATTTGAAAATTGCCTGCACATCAGCATCAAAATACCTTCCTAATGATATATAATTGTTTATACCTTAGAAGTACAGTTTAGCCGTAAAAGGGGTGTAAAGGAAACATGATTGCCTATTTATATAATTGATGTCTTGTATATAAAAAATAGGTGCGTTCGACAAGTCAAAAATTTGTAATTATTTTTTCCAAATTTTTACTGGATGGCGTTCGATAACGACAAAAAATTATCCAACACACAAAAATTGAGAGAGCAAGCGTTCATTTTGATGCAAGAGAAGCGTTCATTTTGTACTGGCAAAATTTTAGTCAGCAAAAATTATCCAACACGAAAACATATGATCACAAAACAAATGGTTGCATTTTTTGTAAACACACAAAATCGCATTTTCCGAGTTTTGGTATTTATATGCTTTTTGGCTGCCTGCTATGTGACTTTATGATAGCGCCAACTAGTTTTTACTTCTAGAAATGTTCCTGGCGAACACTGAACGTTCACTTTCCTTTTTTCTTCTATGGAGGCAACATGAATTTCAGTTTGTTTACAAATAAAACATAAACAATGTCAGCTGGTGTGTCTTCTTCTTCCGGTTTTTGCAAGTAATGGCTAATTTCCTGTTCGTTTACTTTTTTGCTTTTTCATCTCTTTGGGAGAGAATTTTCGCTTACTCTCTTGATTTTGATTGTTAGCTGGTGTTGGCTAATTTTGTTAATTTTGTTTGTCTTGTGCAAATGAATATTTAACATTTTCAAGCGAAAAAACGCAAATGAAAATTGTGATTTTTGGCAATTTTTCTAAGGGGTCCCTAGGAAACCATAGCGGACCTAGGTGGTCGGGGGTTGCATATTTGTCAATGGCGGTTCATTTCCTCTCCAAAAAGGTGGGATAGAGGTGGCGCGCCCACCGCCCCTTTGACGAACGGCCATAATGGAAAGCCAGCCCGTTTAATTAACTACAATATGCATATGTGCAATTATACATACATTTATATTTTTTATTATCACTGAGTTCTGAAAACTTAAAAGCAAATCATAATATAATATGTATATCAAATTAAAGGTAAGAACTTGCACTTTCTGAATAATATACATTTTTTTAGCATTGATTACGGACTTTTTCTAAAACAAGGTTGTTTTATTAAAAAAATTATGATATTTTTTTGTTTTATAATATTTTTGGCTTAAATATAAAAAAAAGCATACACATTACCTACACATACCTTTTATATCTACTTTACTTTTTAATTGCGGCAAATAATATTGATATAATTAAGATCAGCGTAAAAAGTACTAGCAATCTGCATTTTTAGTTTTCTATAGCTGAACGGTTGGTTATCTTGATGTATGTATGCCCCGTTCGAAACTGTTACTACGTTTATACGTAAGCTATTTGCAAATAAAAATAATTTGCAAATACCTAACTCACTGTTTATTCGATGGTGAAAAATTCTTTTTTAATATTGCCTGCTTATAAAAAGGCAATAATAAAAATAAAGTAAAAAATGGCAACGTCTTGATTATAAAAAGGTAAGATGACCATCGAAAATTCATATTTATGTAAAATTAAGAAGAATTTAACTAACAATCCTAAATAATTTTATGGTTTCGTAAATTCAAAGCGTAAGGTACATGGTTTTCCGTCCGCTATGCATTATCGCAACACTGTATCTATCGACAGCCAACTCACATTCCCACGACAGCCGGTTCTACGTACCGGAATGACTCGGGTTT